TTCCTCCAAGGGTATCTCCCTATGCCAACACCATTATGCACTACAAATTTTAAAGGATTCAGGCCTCTCTGGTTGCAAACCAAAATCCACCCCATTGGAAGTTAAATCGAAGCTGTCAAATCATGATGGGGATCTTCTACCTGATCCCACTATTTTTAGAAGATTCATTGGAAGGTTACTCTACTTAACCATCACTAGCTGCTCATCGGATTCTGGCTTATGTCAAAGCCACACTTGGTCAGGGGTTATTTTTTCCCTGTTCTTCAATTGTTCAACTAAAGCTTTTTTGCGATTCTGACTGGGCTTCCTGCTTGGATAACAGACGTTCTGTTTCTGGCTTCTGCGTTTTTCTTGGCAATTCTCTAATATCCTGGAAATCGAAGAAGCAACATACTGTTTCTCATAGCTCTGCAGAAGCTGAGTATCGTTCCATGGCTCATGCCTCTTGTGAAATCCTATGGCTACTTAATCTTCTCAAAGATCTTGGTTTTTTGCACCCTTCTGTTGCACACATGTTTTGTGACAATCAATCTGCCATACATATTGCTGCAAACCCAGTTTTCCATGAGCGTACAAAGCACATTGAGATTGATTGTCACCTTGTCCGCGATTGCATTGTTCGTGGCACACTCAATACTTTTCATGTTCAATCCTATCATCAACTAGCAGATCTCCTCACAAAAGCTTTGCATCCATCACAGTTTTCCAATCTTCTCTGCAAGATGGGGATTATCAACATCTACTCCCCATCTTGAGAGGGAGTATTACAGTATTACATATTTTTCTTTTTTGTATACTGATTGTATTTTGTTTTCTGATTGTATTCTGTATTCTGTTAGCATTTGTTAGCATTGCTTTCTGTTTGGCACCTGTTAGCATTTCTTTCCGGTTTTGTAGCCACGTCACCATGAGTCTGTTACAACAGATTCTCTTAGGTGCTTTTATATTCTGGATCATTTGTACCAATTGCACACTGAATGAAAATATACAAAGTTAGTTTTTCTTCTTTTCCTTTCTGGAAATGCAGAGTGCTTAAATAACTAATACATATACTTAGGCATGCTACTTTTCTCAGGCTCGACTCCTTGGGTTCAAATATATATATACTTTTGTCAGGGCATGTTTGGTGCATAGTATAGGATAATGTTTGATAGTATAAGACCTGATAGTATAAAACTTGATTGTATAAGACCTGATAGTATAAGACTTGATTGTATAAGACCTGATTAAATTTTAATACTATCTAGCGTTTGGTATGATATTGTATAAGATAATATCCTCCAATATTTTAAAAATTAATATATTAAAAAAATTTATTTTAATATATAAATATTGAAATGATATATTAGTTCTTGGGAATTGTACTTGTAATCAATATTAATACATCAACCCCTTATCAGGCCTAATCCACCACTCTTAGGCCGGATTAAGTTATACATCATTTTGATGTATAAAGGGGTCTTGCTGTATAAGCTTATACTATACGATGGTCACACCAAACAACTGAAAATGTCATAACGTATAGTATAAGCTTATATTATCAGGCCTTATACACCACACCAAATAGGCCCTCAGGCTCGACTCCTTGGGTTCAAATATATATATATATATATATATATATATATATATATGGGGAGGGATATTTTGACTCCAGAGTAAGACTTACAAGTTTTACTCCTCATCTCAACCGTTGATTTCCGTCCATCTAACGGTTATCTATACCAATTAATTAATTATTAATTTTTAATAAATAATACCCGTTAGATGAACGGAAATCAATGGTTGAGATGAGGAGTAAGACTTGTAAGTCTTACTCTAGAGTCAAAAGATCCCTCCCCTATATATATATATGGAAAAAGTGTGTGTCATTTTAAAGATGTAAAGTTGTGTTATTTTAAGAAAGAAAAAGAGATAGATAAAGGAGGAGAGAGAGTTGACAAAAAAAATAAAGGTGTGGGTTACACCTCTTTGTGAGAGTGAAATGATATAAGTTGTGTCATTTAAAAAGATAAACATTTTTCCATATATATATATATATATATATATATAAGACAACTTCGACCAGTGGACGCAGAAAATAGATCTACAATGACTAACAGTGACCGATTTCATCATGTAAAAAGGTTCAGAATTTTATTTTAAAATCACGCAAACCAATAAATTTAAGTGACAAAACAAATGGCCATTGTACAGAAGAACAGTTAGCGCACAGTGATTTCAAAAATGATATTGTAACAGTAACACATAACAAGGGGTATAACCCATTTATGGATTTACAAAGGGATATTTAAATTCACTTTGGATCCTTTTGAGAATAGAAAAATTAAAGTTTGAGAGGTTAAGAGAGCACCCAAATCCTTCAACAATGGGTTCCTCTTCAACAAGACTAGAATTTTAATGGTTGGGTGGTGTTTCAATGGAGGAGAGAAGAAAAATGAAAACATTGGAGGAGAAGCCTAAGACTCCAAGAAACTCTCAAGGGAAGCCACACCCAGCCGCTGGATTTTAAAAAAAAAAAACCTAGGATTTTGTGCAAAAGTTGTATTTATAGACTCAAAATAATCACACAGTATTAACAATAATAGCTACGCTTAGCATTTTAATCTCAAACCTTAGATTCTGAACCTAGCCATTTTTCTAGGATTTATCATATTTTTATATTATTTTTTGCAGCACCTTTTCGGTACACGCTTTTACATAGCCAGTATCATTTCTAGCACCAGTTCTCATTATTTTAACTTGAAACTTGAAATCACAGTCGTACATATTATTCTAGGAATATTCATACATTTATTATAATTTTCCGAGATACTTCATCGGTACGCACTTATACTGTGGAGCAGAATCGATATCTGCACTTTTCGTCCGAAAAGCGACTTTAACATTATTAATTACTTTCTACAATTTTTCAAGCCTTCTCATAATTATTAGGGTCAATTATGAAATTATCTCATTAAAGTCATAATTATTTAATTAAATTCCTTAATTATCGGTGCGGGTTCTTACAACAGTCTCTGCAATCCCTCTCTTTCGGATGTTGATTCGATTTATTCATGTACCCCCGTCATTGGAAGCCTGCCAGAAGCCGCTCCTTGTCCATGTCCTTTTGCACCGACGATCACTCCCCGCCCTCGTCAGTGTGCCTGGGATGTTACACACACCGCCGAGATGGAGCACATCAACACGATGAAGGAGATTAGAGGACGTCCTCTTTATCTGCAAAATGTGTTTTATCACACATATCCTCATAGGGAATTTTATTCCAAATTTTTTGCTCACAATCCAAATCAATGGAAAAAATAAATACCACAGGTAAAGAATGATTTTTTTTATCCAGTCCTTAGTGTAAAACTCAAATACTAGGGATTTTTTTATCTAGGAATTTCTTACATATCTTCATATCAAACATGGTAAAAAACTATTACTAACCCCATTTATCCATCATTCCAATCAAAAAACCCATACTAAACACCCCCTTAGGGAGTGGAAACTTACCACAAAAGAACACCCAACCAAAGAATGAGTGTCTCCTAAGCTCCTATAGAAGGAATTGCCCTTAAATTCTTCTAATCTTCAAGATTTTTGAATTCTTGGGAGAGAAGGATCTCTCCTCCAAGCTTCCCACTCAAAACTAAGCTAGGATTTGTAAAGAGGAGATGATTCACTACATTTTTGGCTTTGGAACGGATGATTTTCGTTGAGGAATAAGGAAACTAGGATTTGGGCTTCCAAAATGGATTCTCCTTTTCTCTCTCTTGCTTGTTGGTGGAAGAAGAAGAAGAAATGGGGTGGTTGTAATATTTTATGACTAAACATAATTAAGTTATTTTCACAGGATAAAAACTTATCTATCTAGTCACCTCCATTCACTTTCAAACTTTACCTAATGGACTAAAATATTTTTACAATCATATTTTTACTTTTATTTTACATTCTGAATAATTTTGCCTATACATATTTTTACCCTAAAAATTCTACTAACTGCACTTTTAACTCAAAAATGACTCTACTTTATTTATTTAAGCATTTTACTTAATTCAACCCAACATTGTACGATTAAATATTTAATCCACTCTATTTTCTAATTAAATAGGTTAAGAATATTATAAATTATCTAAAAAATATTGCAACCAATTATTTTTCAAAAAAAAAAAAAGATTTATTAATTTAAGCTCTATTAATCTCAAAAAATATTATGTAAAAACTAGATTCATGTGCAAGGAACAAATATCGTAGCTTAGTATTTCGTAATTCCTATGGAGCACTTCAATACAAATATAAATAAGAATTAGTGTGGCTAATCAAGAAAACAAGATCTACTACTTCCACCCAAAATGAACAGCAAACAGGTAATAATAATAACATAAGAAAAAAACAAATAGTTTGACGCCACGAAATTCAACCAGTGAACCAAATCAAAGCAACCTATGCAGCAAGTGTAACGCCAACTGGTGAAGGTGAAGACCTGGGAATTATTTATTGTGAACTTCTCAAACTACTCGCGGCAAGTGTAACGTAAGTGGTGAGGAAAAGTCCTTGGAGTTGTTATATTGCGTTATCCTTCTCAACTTGTCAAACTATGCTGCTAGCTAGTGTAAGAATTATTTAATGTGTGGACCCGTATCAACTTTTGCTTGCTGACTATATAACACCCTTATCTTTCTCTTCTCTCTCTTTGGAAATATGGGTGAGCATGAGGCCTATATTCAACTCATGTGCTATATATGTACTGTTCGGAGATGTAATAATTTGATTAATTAGGTATATATATGCTTTCAAAGTTTTCCTTTCATGATACACAAGTATACACTTCTTAAGTACTTCAAATCAAAAAAAAAGTTAAAAACAAAAACCAACTTCAACCGACCCCGCATAAACAATAGAAGAACAACCCTTAGAAATCAACATGAAAGGAATATTGTATTAGAATAATGAATTAATTGGGTAGCTTCCGAGTTATTTCTTTGGTAGCTACAAAGGAAATAGATGGCGTGAATGTATGTCTTGGTCAAGCTTTATGTGTGCAAACTTGTCTTTATACATCACTACAACTAGAGCCTCTTCCCTCGATTCTCTTCACACATTCTTCTGGTGTACGTCTGTATCCATAGCGTCTAGCAAGTTTGATTATCATGGCACAAGCACCATCTTCTTCTTCTTTTACCCACACATACACTTATGATGTCTTTCTTAGCTTTCGTGGTGAAGATACCCGCACTGGTTTTACTGGCAATCTTTATAGTGCTTTGAGTCAAAGAGGAGTCTTGACCTTCATGGATGATTATGATCTAAATAAAGGGGAAGACATTACACCTTCTCTCCTCAATGCAATACAAAAGTCCAGGATGTCCTTTGTTATTTTCTCCAAAAACTATGCATCCTCAACATTTTGTTTGAACGAACTTGGCCAGATCCTTGAGTGTTACACAAAGCAAAAGATGTTGATTTGGCCAATTTTCTATGATGTAGATCCCTCAGAAGTGAGATATCAAAAGGGTAGTTATGGTGAAGCATTCGCCAAGTACGAACAGGAAAGATTCAAGAATGACATAGAGAAGGTTAAAAAATGGAGGTTGGCTTTGCGTCGAGTTGCTGATTTGTCTGGTTCTCATTTCAAACATGGGTAATTCACCTCTCTTCTTTCAATTCAGATTATTGTTTCTAAGTTTCGTTTATTTTTTCATTACATGTCAAGTAACAAGCATATAATTCTGTTTAAAGTATATAATTCTAGCTGGTCAACAGTTCGTAATAGTGTGCGACCCTAATCTCTTTCATGTGCCAATAAGTATAGCACAATAAATTAGTTGTTACTTCTAAGTGTGTGATTGAGCTGTAGATTACTATGTAATCATGGGATGCTATAATAAATTTAATTTGGTTAAAAAAGAAAAAAAAAATGTTCAAATATCCAAAACATATGTCAAAATTGTTTAGATATGAAAAAGGATCTCCTAGGATTAGTTTCGTAATTTCCTTATATTTTATAATGTTTTCTTATTTTAGGATCCCTATATAATATAAGAGTTTTTGTGTTTTCCTTTAACATAAGACAAAGTTATCCCTATATAATTCTTTGGGTTTGTACGACTTAGATTTTCACATATATATATATATATATATATATATATATATATATATATATATATATATATATATATATATATGAAATTACCCACAAATTCTTTTTGTTTTTGGTAGGCATCCACAAATTCTTTTTGTCTTTTACGGTTTGGGTTTTGTTAAGTATGGTTTGCATTATTTTAAAATTATACTTCTTATACAACATAAGAAGAGCTTTCTCATGCTACACTCACATCGTTTTGCGTGTCAATATTTTTAATTTTTTTATTTACTTTTTTCCAATGGAGCCCACCTAAGTATGTGTGTGTTGCAAAAATTCTCATCTTATCTTACATAAGAAGTATAAACCCCATTTTAAAAATATCAAATCCAATTCATATCCAAAAGAATAAAAATTGAGCCTGGTCCTATAGTGAGTTGAGTCTTCTCTGGGATGGATATCGTTGTGGGATACTTCCTCGTAATGGAGGGGTTGGTGCCGAAAATGATCTTGGTTGGGCAAAATATTAAAGGGTGTCTGCAAGGTACTTTGACGCTCGAGTCATTATTTGATCAATGAGCTTTAGTAAAGATGGATAAGATAATCAAACTTAGGCTTCAAGCTTCGGTTATATAGTTGTTAATTGTGCATCTTATGCCGTCATAGTATGGCAGCATTTAACCCCATTGGTAAACTGAATTGGCTTCTGTAACCCATCTAATGTGCAGGATGCCAAGTTGTGGGCTATGCCTCTCGGGTATAGCTGGAATCATGTATATGTCCCTTAGCTATTGATTATTAGGGTGGTATAGAGTCCTGTGCTACTGCTACCATATTTTTATCCCTGTGGGATGACATCAACGCGGGACAGACACGTTTCCTAAGCCTTTAAGTCTTGGCTGTTGGGCAATTTATAAGTTAGACCCAATATCCCACATATTGGGTCCAAATCAGTTGCTTCTTATCTTGTTGCTTATGTCGTTAGCATGAGAAGCGAGATATATTATTAAGAGAGATCATTCCATTGTGAGATCCTTTCACGTGTGTATATATGTTGTGAGACTTTAGTGGATTATCAACTATTTTGGACCGAGGAGACCACTGTTGGACTTTTCCCCCCCAAATCTACCCATTTACGGACGTTTTCTAATCACAAAACAAAACAAAAAACCCCAAAATACCCAAACTGCACCTGATCTCACCGGAAAACTCTGTTCTGTTGACTTTTTGAACTCCTGTAAGTCACGAACAACATTACAACGTTTAGGCAACCCTACCGTGAAAAGCTCACTGTCGTCGAAGGCCACATGTGCCCTCACACGCCACCTATATTCTCTGCGCGTAGGACTCATGTGCCACCACTTTCCCAGCGTGTAATAGCGCTTGCCGCCACCGTTTTTGCCTCAGGCCACCATGGTTCGCCTCACTTTGCCTTCCCGATTCCAAATCTATCTTTTCCTGCTTGTTCAGACACCTTTCCAAAAGTGGGTCTTTGATCTTGCCATAAAAGTTAGATCTTTTTCGGTCTCTCGGGACTCCTTTGATCAGATCTGACTTATTTGTTACTACTTGGGACGTTCAAAGGCTTATTGGTAATTATATCCGCTCTTTTTTGTGCTACCTTATTCTCTTTTCTTCCATGGAGACATGTTCCTTTGCTATGTTTGGTAAGATCACACACTCTACATCTCTTCTTGCACTGATTTCGAAAATTCATGGATTATGGATTCTGGATTCTGGATTCTGGTACTACTAATCATATGACTTGTCTAGCTAATCCATTTCTTTCATATCACCCTACTAGTGGTATCCATACTATAGCTGTAGCTTATGGATCCCAGAAATCAGTTATAAGTTCTGGTAACATTCAAATTCAACCTTTCTTATTTTTAAAAAATATTCTTCATGTTCCTCAGCTCTCCATCAATCTTATCTCCACTTATAAGCTTATAATTGAAACGAATTGTGTTGTCACCTTTTTTCTACCCGTTGTGTTATTCAGGATCTCAGCATGGGGAGGACGGTTGGATTTGCTAAGGAGCAAGGTGGGTTGTACTATCTCATTCAGAGCATGCTACAAGTGATACCAAGAATCAATTGTTGAGGACTCATCACCCATCTACTTCATTCTCATAGACTTGGCTTCATCACAAACGACTGGGGCACCCATCATTTAGTCTATTGAAGTCAATGTTCCTTCTTTGTTTCTGGATCATTTAATTGACTCTTTCTATTGTGATATTAAAACAACACTGTGTGCCCTTTCCTTCAAGTTCATTAAAAAGTATTAAGCCTTTTACTCTTATCCATTTTGACGTTTGGGCCCCTTCTAAAGTGCATAGTATTTCAGATGCTAGGTGGTTTGTTTCTTTTATTGATGACTACACAGGGTGACATGGATATACTTGATGAAAGACAAGTCAAAAGTACCAGAATTGTTTATTCAATTTTCTCACATGATCGAGACACAGTTTGGTAAAAGTATCAAATGCTTGAGATCAGATAATGGTACAAAATACGTAAATCATCGCATTTCCCAGTTCATTAAAGACAAAAGTATGGTTCATGAACTCACATGCGTGGATACACCTCAACATAATTGGGTTGCTGAAAGAAAAATTTGTCATTTTCTTGAAGTCACCAGAGCATTACTGTTTCAGATATCTGTACCCAGCTCATACTGGGGAGAAGCCGTATTAACTGTAGCCTATTTGATCAACCGCTTACCTTCTCGAGTCCTTGGCCGTGTAAGTCTTGTTGATCTCATGACTTCCTTTTTTCCCTTCTATTCCAATTATGCAGAGTCTTCAATCTCGCGTCTTTAGGTGTGTAGCTTTCGTCTATATCCATAAAAAAAAATCGGAATAAATTAGAGCATAGAGCCCTTAAGTGTTTCTTCCTTGGCTATGCTCCCAACAAGAAAGGATATAAATATTACCATCCTCCGAGTCGTAAGTTCTTTGTCTCAATGGATGTTAGCTTTCATGAATCTGAATCCTACTTTCTACACCCTCAGCTTTAGGGGGACAACAATATAGAAGCTTCATCCATTTTCTTCTTCAAGTTCGAGTCTCCCTTTCCATTACCTACACCTACACCTCATTCCTCAGTAGTTACACTACATGACAATGAAAAGGAAGACTTAGTTGATGAGGCTGAGAGTTCATGTGACATGCCTCCCATCAATCGACAGAAAGTACGCAAAGTTCGGACACCTGAATTATTGTACCAAAGGAAGAAACAACTCACACTTCCCTACTAGAAATTACAATTGCTTGAACCGCTGGTAAGTATTGAATGCACTTCTTCTTCTATTCCTGAGCCGGATATTGACTATGATAACTTACCATTGCTATGAGGAAATGGAAAAGATCTTGTACTCAACACCCTATCTCTCATTTTGTCTCCTCTAAGAATCTTTATGTGCAATATAGAAGTTTTATTACAGCACTTGACTTCATTTCAATCCCGACATCAGTCCATGAAGCATTAAAAGATGATAATTAGGTTCAAATCATGCGTGATGAGATGAATGCTTTAGAAAAGAATAATACATGAGAAGTCGTTGACAGGTCAAATGAAAAAAAAAAACAATAGGGTGCAGATGGATGTATACTCCGAAGTATAATTCTGACAAGACTCTTGAGCGATATAAGGCTCGACTAGTAGCCAAGGGGTAACACAGATCTATGACATTGATTACGAAGAAATATTTGCTCCATTGGTCAAAATGAATAATATAAGAGTTCTATTGTCCATTACTGCTTGTTTTAATTGGGATTTGAAATAATTTGATGTGAAAAATGCATTTCTCAATAATGAATTAAAAGATGTGGTTTACATGAGATCTCACTAGGATTTGACTCTACAAATAGAGATAATAAAGTTTGCATATTAAAGAAGGCATTGTATGACTTAAAGCAATCTCCATATGCTTGGTTTGAAAGATTTACCAAGGTTATGATTTTATTGGGTTACAAGCAAAGTCAAGGAGATCACACCCTTTTCTTTAAACATTCTCAGGAAGGTAAACTCACTATCTTTCTAATTTATATTGATGACATTATTATAACAGGAGATGATATAGGTGAGAAATGTCTCTGCAAGAAAGACTAACTGTTGAATTTGAAGTTAAAGATTTTGAAAATTGAGATATTTTCTTGGGATAGAGGTTACTCATTCAAAACATGGGATCTTTATTTTTCAAAGAAAGTATGTTCTTGATCTCCTTAAAGAAGCAGCAAAATTTGGGTGTAAACCTTCCAATTCTCCGATTGAGCAGAATCACAAACTAGGAAGTGAAAAAGAGAGCCCTCCAGTTGACAAAGGACAATATCAACAAATGGTAGGAACATTGATGTATTTGGCTTATGTTAGACCCGATCTAGCTTATGCAGTTAGTATTGTTAGCCAATTCATGCATGATCCGAGGGAAAAACACCTGCAAGCAATGGACACGATTCTCCAATATCTAAAAGGCACACCAGGTAGAGAAATATTATTCCAAGGAGGAGGAAAACTATCCTTAGAAGTTTATACAGACGCCGATTATGCTGGACCTGTGACTGACCGACGGTCTACTTCGGGCTATTGTATGTTTCTCGGTGGAAATCTAGTAACATGAAGAAGTAAAAAGCAAAATGTGGTGCTAGGTCAAGTGCAGAGGCAGAATTTCGGGCCATGGCTCAAGGTATCTGTTAATTATTATGGCTGAAAATCATTCTTGATGACCTCAAAGTGAGATGTGAAGGATCTATAAAGTTACTATGTGATAATAAGTTAGCTATCTGTATCGCCCACAATCCAGTTCCATCAAACATATCGATATTGACCGCCACTTCATCAAAGAGAAACTAGACAGTGGACTGATCACTACTCCATATATTTCTTATGGTCGTCAACTGGCGGATGTTTTGACTAAGGGACTTCCTAATGATAGGTTTAAAATACTTACTAACAAGCTGAGAATGATAAATATTCATTTCTCAGTTTAAGGGAAAGTGTTGTAAATATTATATTAGAATTATCTGTAGTTGATATTGTAATTATTTATTTCTTTTTTCTTCTTAGGATTTCTTTCCGTTTTAGTATTTGGGTTTATTCCTTTAAGCCCATTAGGCTTCTATATATTGTAACCTCTTGTTTATATTATACACAATTCAAATTATACAAAATTCCATTTTTCCGAGTATATATCTCCATAGGAGAAGGCCAAGCTACTGGGTATCATGCCCACATCACTGAAAGGTTACCATAGGGGTTCTTTGGGGGTTAAGTTTTTGTAGTTATTTTGCACATCCATGTTTTAAGCAATGATTTGTATAGCTGATGCAACTATGATTGGCATAGAAATCTATGTGTGCTTGAGTGTGTCATTTTGAGCTTTTTAGGTTTATTCCATAATTTGGAGTTTTTCAACAATTGTCAATTATTTATCTTTTTTGTTATTTCTTTGATTTTATTTGAACGTGTGTTGTTTGTAAGTTATCTCTTTTAATTGAGAAATAATTTTTCTCACAATCCCTGTGTTCAGTATTTTTTTTTTGTTTAGCCAATGTAATGCTACTTCGGCATTAATAACTCATTTGACAATTTGGACATTTGGGGGAAGTATGGAACTGAGCCTGTCAATTATTATATAATTATGAGATTCTATATATAATTGTGAAATTTAATTTGGTTATAAAAAGAGAAAAATATTATAATATTCGGACGATATCTTAAAACAATTTAAAATATCCTAAAGTATTAATTCCCTATTTTCTTATATTTCGTTTCCTATTTAATATAAATAGGAATGAATATTTTATCTTTTGTATCACATAAATATACAGATATTCTTTCTTTTTTTTTTTTTTTCTCCATTCTTCCTCCCAAACTCAATAATTTCAAGACTAAGAAGGAAGCATGCCATGAATTTAATGCATTTAATTAGTTTCACTTTCATTAATGGCAGGGGAGGAGAATATGAGCATGTGTTCATCCGAAATATAATAGAAAGGGTCTCTCGCAAGCTTAATCGACCTCTTTTGCAAATTGCTGATTACCCTATTGGATTGGAAGCTCGTATTCGAAATGCACTGTCGGTTATGGGTGCTGAATTTGATAACAAAGTCAACATGCTTGGGATTCATGGTATCGGAGGAATAGGTAAATCAACTATTGCACGTGCTATATATAATTTGATAGCACATCAATTTGAAGGTTCATGTTTTCTTGCTAATATTAGAGAAAAGTCAACTAGGCATGGCCTAGAACAGATCCAAGAGACAATGCTTTGTGAACTAATTGGGGAGCGAAATTTCAAGTTGGGAGATGTGAACCAAGGAATTCAAATATTAAAAGAAAGACTTCAACAAAAGAAAGTGCTTCTTATTCTTGATGATGTTGACAAAAGGGAACAGCTACAAGCAACTGCTGGAGGAATTGATTGGTTTGGTTCTGGCAGCACTATCATCATAACAACAAGGGATAAGCATTTGTTAGATATCCATGGTGTGAAAAATCTCTCTGAGGTTAAAAAACTCAATGATATTGAAGCTCTTGAATTGTTTAGCTGGAATGCTTTAAAAAATAAACAAGTTCACCCAAGTTACATGGAAATCATAAAGCGTGCAGTACATTATGGCAGTGGCCTTCCATTGGCTTTGGAAACAATAGGTTCAAACTTATTTGGTAAAGCATTAGATGAATGGAAATCAGCACTAGAAGCATATGAAGGAATTCCCAATAAAGATATTCAAGATATTCTTAAAGTTAGTTATGATGGCTTGGAGGAAAATGAAAAGGAAATTTTTCTTGACATAGCTTGCTTCTTCAAAGGATGCAGTGTGAGATACATTAGCAGTGTGCTACAAGCACGTGGTTTTCACCCTAAATATGGTATTGGAGTGCTGGAAGATAAATCCCTCATTAATATTTGGAGGTATAATGGTGAAATTAGTGTGACAATGCATGACTTGATTCAATCTATGGGGAAAGAAATAGTTAGACAGCAATCGATAACTATGCCTGAAAAACGCAATAGGTTGTGGTTCTATAAGGACTTGATTTACGTTTTGGAGAAAAACATGGTATGTAAACTCATCTACCTGGTGCCTTTCCATTTCTTTCTTTACATCATTAGTTGGATATGTACTATGTTAATTTCATGATTCTTTGCCATTATTAATAAAAGCCATACAATGATTTATAACTGAATGTTACTCTAACTTTTTATATGTACGTAGTTTCTGACAATTTTTATACATTAATGCTTTTGGATTATAAGGAAAATGATGAAATCGAAGCCATGGTGTTGGATATGCCTGAAGATAAAGAAGTTCAATGGAATCAAGAGGTGTTAGGGAGGATGAAAAAACTCAGGATGCTTGTAAAAAAGAACGCTTGTTTTTTCGGAGGCCCTAAAAATCTCCCAAGCAGTTTGAGAGTGTTGGAATGGTGGAAGTATCCTGAAGCTTCTTTACCACATAATTTTCATTCGAAAAATCTTGTCATACTCAACTTATCATACAGTAGCTTTCAATGGAACAAACAACTAGAGGCACGTATAATTTATTAGTGTCATAACAAATTTTTTTTTTTTTTTTTTTTTTTTTTTTTTTTTTTTTTTTTTTTTATTTTAAACATATTACACTTTGTTTTGCAGAATTCCGAGGTTTTGAGCCAGTTGATCTTCACAGGTTGTGTGGACATAAGACAAATACCCGATGTGTCAGGAATTCCGAATCTGACTGAATTGTGCGTTGATGATTGCACAAATTTGATTGGGATTCATGATTCTGTTGGATTTCTTGATAAATTGCTAAGCTTCAGTGCTAAAGGATGTAGCAAGCTCAGAATAGTTCCACATGGCATAAGGTTGACTTCTCTAGAATATCTTTGCCTTCGGGACTGTTGCAGTCTTATTATGTTTCCAGAAATATTGGGACCAATGGAGAGACTAGAATTCGTTGACTTGGAAGGAACTGCCATAAAAAACCTGCCACTTTCAATGCAAAACCTTAAAGGGGTTCAAAGGTTATATCTAAACAGATGTAGAATGATTGAAAGTAACGCACTTTCTGACATCATTCAAAGGTTGCCAAACTTGTTTCCCTTTTTGAAATCATTGAGATTACGAGGGTCAAGTTTAACAATCCTTCCTGAGTGCATCGAAGAATGTCGCTTCTTGGAGTTACTAGACTTGTGTTATTGCAAGCAGCTTCGAGAAATTAGAGGGCTTCCACTAAGCACCGATGATTTCTTGGCATATAATTGCACGTTACTAAAGGCCAATTGTTCAACTTTAAACATGTTGATACAGAGCCGGGTTAGTCTCTTTTCTGTGATAGTGTATCATTTATTAGCTAAATTGTTTCCCAAACTCACCACACTTTTATTGACATGTTTGACAGGCAATTCGTTCTGCTACAAGAAAATTCTTTGTTCTGCCAGGGAAACGGATCCCAGAATGGTTTGACCACTCTAGCAGGGGAAACTCCCTATGTTTCTGGTTTCGTAAGGATTTCCCCTCTATCACTGTGTCTGCTGTTTTAGGAGTTGTGGAAAATATTGAGGATCCGTTCTACGTGAACTTTCATTTTTATGTTAAAATCAATGATATTGAGATACCTTTTGGTTTTGATTTTAACTATATTTTGGAGACTGATCATATATTTATGTTCAAAAGCTTTACCGATCCAAAATATTGGGGTCAGGGCGGACTACTTTCAGAGAATGAATGGAATTATGGGGAGGTTTTATTTGTGATCCCTCCAGATTCTGGTTGTACGGGATCAATCAAATGTACTGGAGTTCATATAAACCGGACATTTAGTAGAATGGAGGATGTTCAATTCACAAATCCTTATCCTTCCAAGATGACATGTTATACAAATCAATCAGCTTTACCCAACCCCGAATTCCAAATGTGGCTTCGGTCTTCCATGCAGCCACATTGGGAACAACCTTTGGATGAATTGTATAGCAGTCCAGCTTCACTTTCACCTACACCTGATTTCAGCACTGGACTTTTATCAGGACCACCAGCTTCATCTATTAAACGGCAAACCCTGGTGCACAAAACCTCCCAACTTTGTAAAGATAGGGATAAGAGTCCATCGTATGCAGTTTTACTCTTGCATTTTTACACAAAGGTTGTTTCCAAAATTCGAATGCATGGCCTTTTTGGACGAAAATATCTTCTGTCCTTCCTCTTTGTTTGTTTGCTCTGTTTAGTTATACTTCTAGATCCATATGGTTATAGATATAAACCAGATGGAGCATTACTGGATCATCAAGCAAAAGATCTGGGAGAATCATCTCAAGCCCCGGGTTTTGCTGAGACTCAAAATATTCAGGCCCATAGTCCCACTTCATCAAGTGGTGGTGAAGTTAGACCAGAACTACACGTAGGAACAAGTTCCACTATGTTTCCAACAGTTGACGCATCTCCAAGAAATCAAACTGAACCTGCTGAAGATGATGTGGAAATGGAAGCATTTTATGTTTCTCTTGATGCTGACACCTGTGTGGTTTCATGGGAAGAGACCAGGAAAGCTTTGAAAATAGTACAAGACTTGATCTCCAAGGATGCTTCTGTTTTCTTGCATCCTAAACTGGCAAGTGTCATGAAAACCAATTTAGAGTACCGGTCCAATTCGTCTGCAGACGATGATATATCAAGAGATATAAGGCTACAATTGTCAGAAACTTCATTGGAGTCCACCCATTGGTGTTGGGACGACTACATTGAAGCAAGAATGAAAATTGAGTCCACAGTGGAAGCTAACAAGAACCAGTTCTGGGAAGTTGTGGCCTTGGAAAATGAGCTGCGTCAAAAGTTAGCATGGATGGAGGGGAAAAAAAAGTATCTAGAAGAACAAATCAATGTCATTAAAGCTAACATCGCTGCTTCTCAATCAGAAAAGAACATGGCCAGTCAAAGAAAGAGAGATATATTCAAGGAAGGAAAGAAGCTTAAAGCTCAAAGATATGAGTTGAGGGAACAAGCACCATATTCACAAGACGAGCATGGTTGGGAAAATGAAACACAAACGCGCATCAAATCTGAATGGCCAGAATTCAGAGAATATTTTGAGGGGATTGCTACAGAGGGAGATGAATAGTCATTCAAGTGGAATTTTGACCATGATTTATTTTTTAGCACCTAGCCTATGATACCTCAGAGTAAATTTATTTCCAATTGAAATTGATGTTGCATTAGGTCTCATTTTCAATATATAATGTGTTTCTATAAACGTCTAGTCCGCAGAAATTAAAATTTTATTACAAGTAATTGAATCTAAGCTTTAATGCAAACCCTTAATCCCTAATTGATGATCGAATCCCCAATTTTGACTAGTATCCAATTCCTTGGTATACTGATTCTATTTTAATCAGCCACAATTAACTAATCACTTAGTATAACCATACATGACTAAAAGCAAATTAATGGGTTCAATGGTGATATGAAGTGTTCAGCCTGGATAGGAGAACTGAGGGATTAATGTGCTAACCGAGCTAGAGGATATAATATGAATGAGAAAAACGAAAGCTCAATGACAGTCGGTTTAAGGAGGAAGATGGTAGTTGGATGCTACGTATACGGTGGAGTAAGGGTTGTGTGTTGTCATCCGCATAATGTTCAGTAATTAGAGAGAATGAGAGAAAGAATGCAATGCATGAATGGCCAAAAGTCCTTGCAATGGAGTAGGAGGAACGTGTGTTATATAGATGGTTGTGTAATATTTCTATAAGGGGTCTCGCAATGTGAATGATTCTACAGGTGATGAATGTGTGTGCCAAAACGTGGGGGGAATCGTATCTTCAGTGGTGGAAGGTTGTTATTTTGTGTGTGAGAGAAGATATTATGTGATAGGGATGAATCGTCTTGTAGTGGGGAGTGTGGAGAATGGGCTGTTTAGAACAAATGGGATTCCAAGAAAAACTACTTGAAAAAATCTACTCCTAAATCTGAATTGAATGAGAAAGAGTACTATAAGATGCTTTTCAATTTTTGACTAATTATATGAATAACTTATTGATTCAATACTTTCAAGCAATCAATTCTCTCAAAAGCAAGTTATTAGTTGAAGGAAGATGATGATTTTTTTTTTTTATATTATTTCTAACATGCTCCTTTATATTTATTGATTTTGAAAGGTGAATAATACACATATCCCATGTAAAAACCCGCATAGTTAAATTATACATTTAGAAATTTAATAGTAATTAAGTGAGGATTATTGAACGGAAGCTTTAATTATGTTAATTTTTTTTGGAAATATTTCAATTGGTTCATTGCTTCGCAGTTAATCCGATTCGGGGCGGGTCCAGGATTAAAGCTTTAAATCTCTCCCAAAGGTGGTACTGGGGAGATTCGTTTAATTATGTTAATTAATTTAAGATAAAAGCACCTTTTGAGAAAAGAATAAATATTGAAGGTTTCACAGTAAAAATGCTGTAGGCAAAATTACCCGAAACTTAAAGATAATTAGCAACTATTATTCCATCAATTTTATGAAGTTAATGACAACAAAATAATTATGATAATATTATTAGGAAATATTAATTATTGGAATTTTGTCATTTTCGGTGAAAAATGCTTATACTGCAGGTACTGCGACAGAAACTACTGGTATAGAAAAATACTTGGAACCGAAAAGAAATTATAGATTTATGCATCATAAAGTTTATAAGACACTGTAGTGTGAAACTATTAGAGATTTAAGTGAGTGTGGCATGTGAACTAATATCGAGTATTTCACTGTATAAAATGCATACTGGTGAAGTGTCTCAAAAAATTATAATAAAAATATGATAATTCCTAAAAAAATGTCTACATTGAGAATATAAAATTTTAAAATTAAACGAAGAACGAAACTAATAGAACTAATACTATTAGTTTAAGTGAATGTAGTTATAAATAGAAAATGGCACACAACCCTAGAGCATTTTGAACACCCTACCAGCAGCCCCATTTGTGAATGTTGTGGCTGCCATGTTTTCTTCACCATACTGTCATAGCCTTCTCTTCAAATAACCCACTCAAGCTCTCACCTTTTTCCATTTTCCTCTCATTCAAACTTTGTAAACACTTGAGCAAGCCTTGTGGGGAAGGGAAAGATCACTTCTTGGTGTACCATTGCCACTATTTTGTGGTGTTTAAGCATTGCCTTGGGAGTTGTTGAAGGTTCATTTCGTTTGTGTGGGATGCCTTTCGTTGTGGGAGTGATTGGAACCATTTCTACACTTCCTTGAAGCTCCAAGAAGCCATTTTTACCAAGGAAAATTTGTGGTTTTACTTGGTCAAATTTTAGGAGTGCATTGGTGACCTTAAAGGTTTCTCATTTTTCTGTTTTCTAAGACCCCAAGGTAACCTCTCACCATATCCTTTGTAAATTCATGAAAATGGCTTATTTTGAGTAATAAAAAGAGAAACTTTAATGATTTGTGTTGGGGGTTGTTAATATAAGTGTATAAAGTTAATTGAACTTCTGTAAGTGGGTATATTAAAGTTAGAACCTTTGGGATGTCAATGAAACACCTCCAAAACAGAAAAAACGTAATTTTTTTGTATTCTGTCGCGGAGGAATCGATTCCCTGCAACTGGGAATCGATTCCCGACTAGAAAAAAAGACATCAACGCACAAGTTTAGTAAAATCGGGATATCTCGAGTTACAGAGCTCCAAATTGAGTGAGGTTTGGACCTATGTGAAGCTAACGGGGTACAATCCTACAAAATTTCAGACCCAATGGATAAGTGAATTGATCGTGGTTTGAGTTTTAAGTTGCTGCCTTGTTGTAGGAAATTCGGTTACCTTGCGGAAAACATAACCAGAGTTATACAACTCCGATTGAGACATAAAATATGTCGTCAGAAAGATTGTGATGTCTAATTTAACATAGTAAAATTTTAAAAGCTTTAGTAAAGACTTGCAATTTCAGTTTTAAAAATAGTAAAAGAGGTTTGTAACATGTAACGCCTGGCAACTTGCAAGGATCAACGACTATCCCCACACACTAACACGAGACTTTTCAGCGTGCTTTGTCCTCACTCGCACACTTCCCGGAAAAAAATTTCAGGAGGTCATCCATCCCAGAATTTCCCCAAGTCAAGCACGCTTAACTATGGAGTTCTTTCATTCCGGGCTACAGAAAAGTAGATGCATCTTGTTAGTATAGGTAGTACCAATTAATTCTTATAAGCTATTCCCAACTGTACCGTCCCATACTATAATAGCCCATATTAATTAATTAGGAAATCAAGTGTAATTAATTAATTAAACATGTTTTAGTGAGTGAAATTAAGTATAAGGCTTAATTAAATGAATCTGAGTCACTTTGGAGTTAAAAAGTGTACTCAGTGAAAATTAAGGGGTATAAATGGGTACTGTCAAAAGTACCCAAAATATAAAAATAAAAATAGTAATATTCCTAGAATAATATTCCAGACTTTTGGGTAAAGTTTGGTAATTATTGGAGTTAAATAGATAGACGAACCAATACCCGCTTAGAGCCACTTAACCTATGTTAAGTGACTTAAGTCACCAAAGGACCCTCATTTCCCACCCAACCCGTCGAACCAGAAAGGAGAAGAGAAGAGAGGGAGAAGAGAGGGAAGAAGAAAAGGGAAGAGAGAGAGAGAGAGAGAGCTAATCCCAACGGTTTTGGGTGATTCAAAAGCCTAAATCGCTTAGAATCTCGCCCTCTTTCATAATCCTTGCTTTGTTTTGAGTGGTGAGCATTGTGGAGAGAGATATTACCTCTCAAAAATTCGGCCCTTTGGTGAAAATTGGGGTTTTGAGAGTTTCTACCTCCATTGAAGCTTGAGGAGCCATCAATCCTTGGTTGTGTGACCATTGGTGGTAAGATTCTAACCCTGGAACCTCATGATTCCTTGACATTTGCATGAGTTAGGGTTTGTGAATAGTAAATTGGGATTTTTATGAAATGTAGTTGAATTAGCTATGTTCTAGGAAGATTGGAGCTTAGAGCATGTTATGGAAAATGCTAGGAATGTCATTTAATCGGTGGAAATGAGCCTAGATAGTCATTTGATAATTGTTCATAATATTGGAAAATTCATGCTTGGATTGGTTAGTATTCTAGCATGTTGAACAATTAGTGAGTTGAATGATTGATTGGATCCTTGTGATGTCTAGGATTGAGACATTTGGACCAACCGTGAGTGATCAACCATTGGAGCAAGCTATGGAGCTTGAATAGCTCATTGGAATTGGTAAGCTCATACTTGTGTGGTGCTTTGAATTGAGTAATTGATGGTTGATTGTGAAATACTCTTGGATGCAATGTGTTGATTGCATTACACCATGTGTAGGTGTATGTTTGTAAAAGTTGATTGCTGAAACTGTTGGTGAAGAACAAAGGTTGACTGAAGCATTGAGGTAAGCCTTCGGACCTTGGGTGTAATTCCCTTGACTGTTCTACCAAGCCCTGAAAGGGTGGAGGTTGTGATTGTGTATATAAATGCAATAAAATAGTGTAATGCTTTGTTATACGTATGTGTATGCATTTGGTGTGGCATAGGATGGTGTTTCCCTATGTGGGTATGTTGCATGACGATGCGTAAATCATACATGGTAGTTAGCTGGCCAGTAGGACTATTTGCATCTGAGTTTCCTTAGGACAGCTTGAGAGCTCGAGGGATTTCTCCTGGAGATGTATTGCACTTTGCATAGATATGTATTTACTGCATTATTATTGTTATTGCTATTACACTGATATGGAACTGTGGGGTGGAGAGATGCTCCAAGGACCCCTGGTTTACTGGATATATTCGTATATCTCACCCCGTGTTGTGGGGACCCCCTTTCAGGTAAGGATGCTGCAGGAGCCTCTGGTGGCAAGTGGCCATACCTAGATTATGCATGAAATATGGCACTTCTTTGAGTTTATGCATGCCTTTTGTAGTTGACATGTATAGGATTTTATTTTGAAAGCCCATGATCATATGTATATCTTGATTCATTGGATGAACTTAGCCTATGCTCATGCCTTTGGTTACACCTATTGTTGATGGGAGCCAAGGGAATGATCATAGTGTTTTGTAAGCTAAGTTCTATGATTTGTAAAGGATATGTAATGTAAATGATGTCTACTTGGAATTCAATATATGCATGCTTGTTATGTATTGAGTTGTTGAATTGGTTGGGCTGAAAATCAATTAGGTACCCTCTTCGTTTAAACTGGTAAACGATGAGAAAACAAAGGTCATGCTGCCCAAATTCTAGCTAAATCTCATGAGGAGAGGTTGGATGAGTGCTAGGATTTAGTTTTGGGGCATGGACATTTGGGGTTTGTAATGGGGATGCATTTTCCCCTAGGCTTGGACTTGAGAAAAGTGGGAATTGGAATTCCCTGGCAGCGCGCTTAAGCGCCCAGGAGCGCGCCCAAGCGCCCTGCTGCCCCTGCGAGTGCCAATGCATTCTGCCTCCTCGCGCTGGAGCGCCCAAGTGGGGGCTTAAGCGCCCAGGATTGCGCGCTGGAGCGCCCTGGCGTGCGCTTAAGCGCCCTTTGCTGCAGAAAGTTGGGTGGCTTACTGCCCCCTCGTGTTTTAGCGCCCAGGGTGGGGCTTAAGCGCCCAGGGTTGCGCGCTTGAGCGCCCTGGTCCGCGCTTAAGCGCCCTTCGCCACTGAAGGAGGAGATGCTTCTGTCTCTGCGCGCTAAAACGTCCCAGTGGGAGCTTGAGCGCCCAGGCTAGCGCGCCTGAGCGCCCTGTTGCGCGCTTAAGCGCCCATCCACACTGGAAATGCTGATGCTTACTGCCTCCGTGCGCTTAAGCGCCCAGATGGAGGCTTTAGCGCCCGATAGCGCGCGCTTGAGCGCCCGGTAGCGCGCTGAAGCGCGCGGGGCCTGCGACCAACACTCTCTTGTGTTGCTTCAAATTGTCCTAACTCGGACTGCAGTGCTCCGATTTGAGCACGGTTTGAAGCCACAGGTAGCTAATGAAGGAACCTACAATATAGTAGAAGTATTGAACTAAACAAGAAGTAAATTAATGGTTTAAAAATGGGATATGAACATGATGTTAAGCTTAATTTATCTGTTTCCGCGAGGTAATATGGTTATGATCACGAAATTGGGTATTATAAGTTCGGTACGTTTTAAAATGAAAAATTTATCCGGATTTTAATTGAACCCATGTGATTGTAACTGCGCTTAATATCATAATGCGATGTTAACAAACCGGTTCTAGAACGGGGTGTTACATTTTATGGTATCAGAGCAGTTTCGTAGGGAATAACTGTAGCTATTGTTGAGTATGCTTGTGTTTGATGCTTTATAGTTGTTTTAGTACTCTGTATGATTATTGCATTTGTGATCACTAAGTGTGGGCCTGATCAACTCACTTCATTGTGTAACATGTGTAGTGACATGACGAGGAACCGAAACAACCCCGGACCATCAAACACCAATGCTCAGCCAGAACCTGTTTTGGCTGCTCTTGTGAGGCCGAGAAGTGGCCGTGGGGCAACGGGCGTACAGCCTGATCCCGTGGCTGAAGCTCTTGCAGCCGTTCAGAGAGAGTTGGCTGCTAGCAGGCAAGCCAATGAAAATTTGTTAAAGACAAATGAAGACTCGCGGACTGCTATGGCCGCGATGATGACCGAGTTGAGGACGTTGAGGGGTCCTAGGCCCGTGAACCGGCAACCCACTCCTCCTCCTCACACTGCTACGCCTTCTCCACCTCCTTCACAGGAAGAGGGTGGAGTGGGTAACAATGAGGGTGAAGGTAGTCACCACTCTGGGAGTCTGAGTCATCACACCGAGGTTCGTCAACCTCAAGTTGAAAATGTCGGTGATCATGAAATGGAGGAAATGAGATTGATGGCTTTCCGAAAACATAAAACCTCCTTCTTTTAAGGGAGGTTATGAGCCAATGGCGGCTGCAAAATGGCTCCAAGCGATGGAGAAGATATTCAGGGTGATGAGGTGCCCTGACGCAATGAAGTTGGCTTACTCTGTTTATATGCTGGAAGAGGAAGCAGAAGATTGGTGGACAAGTACCGTGCAGCCATTAGAAGCTGAAGGTCGGGAGATCACATGGCGGTTATTCGAGACATTGTTCTTGGATAACTACTTCCCTAGAGAGGCTAGGGAACAAAAGCAGAATGAGTATAACGATCTCAAACAAGGGTCGATGTCTATTGACCAATACTTCTCAAAATTCAATGAGTTGGTGAAATACGCCAACTATGGGCGAGCCTTACCCACCCCGGCTGAAATGACCTCCAAGTTCCAATGGGGTCTCAATGAGAAGATGTCTCGGAAGATGTCAAATTGTGACATCCGAGAGTTCAGTCGGTTTGTAAACCAGTGTAGAAAGGTGGAAGAAGTGTATAAGGTGTCCCAAACCAAGAAGTCTTCTGAGGCTCAGGCACCTAGTTCTCATAAAGCAACGGGCTCCGGTTATTGGAAGAACCGGAAGGTGCAAGGCAAGAAGCTGAATGCGAATAAGCCCTTTGACTTGTTCAAAAAACCCGGTACTCAGAAGAAGTTTGTTGATAGAGGACCTCCTCCCAAGTGCAAGGGATGTGGCAAAGAGCATAGAGGTCCATGTGCTACTGGTGAGGTGATTTGCTTTAAATGTGGAAGATCCGGTCACTACTCCAGGCAGTGTCCTCAGAATGAAGCAAGGACTATGGCAGTTCAAGCTACTGCTGTTCCGGTCTCTGTTGTTCAACCTATGCTAGAGTCTCAGACGGTTGGTAGAGTATATACCATGGACCGTCAGCAATCGGAGAAGGCTCCGAATCTAGTGAAAGGTACAATTTACATTGATAATATGGATGTTGAAGTGTTGTTTGATTCAGGAGCTACACACTCCTGTATGTCTGATGTTATGGCC